TGTTTTTGAGACAAGTTCTTGTGAAATTTTCCAAGCTAGCCAGGAATTTGAGATTTTCCTGTCTCAGCCTCTGAAAGAGACAGCTCTTTCAAGGGTATATGGGATACACAACTGTAAAGGGTTAACAGAGTTTTGTGCCTTAATTGTGGGAAATTATACAAAAAAAAATCCTTGTGCTTCTTGTTATCTACTCTAAGAAGTGTATTTTCCCTCTCAGCTCAAGGCTGTTCAACAATAAATAACTGGATTTTGTCAAGGCAGCAATCTAACACAAACTCCCTGCCCAACCATCTCCTGAAACGTAATCAGCTTAAGATGTATCTTGTAAAACTACGCACTTATCACTAAACTGGAAAAGACCTTTTAGTTATAAACAGTTTGCAGCTGTGTCAAATGAATGTAGTTTCTGTTGTTCTGTACTAGCTAACAAATTTGCATACCATTCAGCCGATCAGCCTTCTCCTGCGGGAGAAGGAGCTGATGGACCTGAGCTCAGTAAATAAAGGCTCTGTTCAAATTTCTATCTCTGCTCTGGTTCCTGTGCTGAGTGACCCATAACAACAACCTCGAGGGGCTCCAGGCTCTTCTTCAAATGAGCCAGCAATGCTTCTGCCTCGCACCTTAACAGCTTTCTCCGCCCCATGCCCTGTCCCCAGGTGACTGATCAGCCTGTTATCTCAGCTGTTTCCAAACTTGCTCAAAGCGCACCTTTTCAGAAAGCACCTAAACCCCGGGTCCTCCAAGCCCTTGCTTCAGATCCAATGACCTCATGTCAGCCTACCCTGAACCCCAATTTACTACATCCCTTTTTTTTACTTTCTGTTTTTCAATAAGGAGAATTGAGCCCAACTTCCTTCACACTGAGCTAGAGATCCAGCCCTTTTTGTTTGTATGTTTCGAGACAGGCTCTTGCTAAACCGCCCTGGCAGTTTAAACCTGCCTTGGCCTCAGCCCGTCAAAGTGCTGGGACCGCAGGCGTACACTCCCCCTGGCCACCACGCGCCTTTCGGACAGGGCTGGTGCTGTGGCGCCTCCTTTAAACCCGGCCGGGGAGGGTCAGGGATAGACCCCGGGCTCGCCCCTCGGCGAGGACCAGGCTCCGCCCATCTCTGCTGCCCGCCGCCCGGGCGGAACTCAGGCGCCACACCCCTCCTAGCCGGCCCGGAACCGCCCCTGGGTGGACGTGCCGCTGTACGTGGCGTGACGTCAGTGCGCCGCGCCTGCCGCTCTGCGCCTGCGCCTTGTGAGAGCCGTGGCGCTTGGCGGGGCTCCTCGAGCTGTAGGCTCGCTGTGTTTACTGGTTTTGTTGTTGTTGAGGCTTTCGGGCTGGTCTCGATTTGCACCATGTACCACAACAGCAGCCAAAAGCGGCACTGGACTTTCGCCAACGAGGAGCACCTGGCGCGACTGCGGGCCGACGCCAATCGCAAATTCAAATGCAAAGCGGTGGCGAACGGGAAGGTGAGGGCCTCCCCGCGAGGCCGCGAGCGCCCCAGCCCGGGGAGCCGGAGGGGAAGCGCCGGCCCCCTTAAGTCAGAACCTCGCGGTGTAGGCCAGGCTGGCCTTGACCTCACGGGGGGCCCGGCGGGGCTCGAATGTGCAGCCATCCTCCTGCCTCGGCCTCCGAGGGCAGGGATGCGGGCGTGCGCCTCCAGAGCACAGCCTGTCTGAGGTAGGGAGGAAGAGGAGATGCCGCGGCAGCGCAGGCCCGGAGCCGTTCCCGTGGTCGGCCGGGGCTGCCGTGGGGAGGCTTTCACTGGTAGTTGATCCGGATTAGAGAAGGACCGGACGTGGCCGAGCGGCGAAACCCAGGTGCGGGGAGCTTCGGGGCGCGCAGTCGCGCTCGGTCCTCGGTGCCCGGAGCTGAGAGCCCGCGTGGGCGAGGCCAGGCGAGGAGCGTAACTTACAGAACTCAAGCGGAAAACTTGGGAGACTTGCAAGGGTTGAGAGGAGAGCGGAGCTCGTCCCGTCCGCGTCCTGGGAAGAGTCCGGGCGGCGGCGGGGCGTGGGCTGCGTGCGGGAGGGGACGCGCGCCCCGGGTCACCTCCAGGAGGCGTGGGGCGGTGCTGACGTCGCCGGCCGGCCGGGTTTCATGTTTCCCGCCAGCTCCTCCCGGGTTTCTAGCACTTGCTTCGCGGGAGTGCTGTGCTTGGTGCCCGCGGGCCTCGTGCTGCCGAGGCCCACGTCGATTTCCCGTCCCCGAGCTTGGCACCTGCATTCGTTTCTTGGGACTGCTTTTAAATCACCAAAATAGGAACGAATAGCGTAGAATAACAGACCGACAGCTACCGCTTACTGCTGTTCTCGGCCTCGAGTTTTTGTCCCACGGCGGTTGGGAAAGGGATGTAGGTTTTCCGACCATTAAAAATATGGTTTTTGAGTTTACAAATAATGAATAACCCTGAGAGAATATGTGCATTCTGTTTCCATTTGGCACCAGTGACGCAAATACTCGCCCGACATTCTAAGAAGTAGTGAAATGATGGTGGAGTTTTGGCTTATTAATGTTTTCCCAAATCTGTTTTGTGTAATGCTTAGCACATCTATGAAGAGAAGCGGGCTGGGCACGGGGGTGGTGCACACTGTAACCCCAGCATTCTGCAGGGTGAGGAAAGAGAGTCGTGATTTCGACGCTAGCCAGGTTGTGTACATAGATCCTGCCTATGACCCTGTCTCAAAAAAAGTTTAAAGAGAAAATTATTTTGGTATATTTTGCTTTGCTGAGGTTTTAAAATTAGGATAAAGAAGATAGTTTTACAATTCATTCACTAAACTATGTTGTCATTGTTTGTTTTAAAGGTTCTTCCAAATGATCCAGTCTTTCTTGAGCCTCATGAAGAACTGACTTTGTGTAAATACTATGAGAAAAGATTACTGGAATTTTGTTCGGTGTTTAAGCCAGCGATGCCGCGTTCTGTTGTGGTAAATTAACAGTAGGGATGAGATATAATTTCCTTTTGCTGGCTTGTGAAATCTGACGTCTTGTAAGTTACTAAATTCTCTATCCACTTGTTTACAAAATTCATCTTAAGTTAGCTTTGTTTACTTTTTGTTGTGTGTTTTTCAATAAAGCCCCGAAATCCTGAGTTGTTAAATTTTACAAAATATTTAAAATCTCATTTCATACTCAAAAGAATGTAGAAGTCTGCCAAACAAGTTGTGACATGCATTTTATAGAGAAAGAAAAAAAATAAGATTGTTTGCCTTCCCAGTACTGAATGAGCTGTAGAAAAGGGACCAGAACATAGATAAGTGCTTTTCCAGTTGACCCACAGTATACCAAGTACATGAAGTAATGTAATGGTATTTGTATGAAGCACCTTTTCAAAGAAACTTGCATAAATGAGTTCCTTTTCACAGAATTTAACATGTAATATGTGCAAATAGATACTGATAACTTTTTTTTCTAACTTTAGGGTACAGCTTGTATGTATTTCAAGCGTTTTTATCTTAATAATTCTGTAATGGAATATCATCCCCGGATAATAATGTGAGTATGTTTGGCTAATTAATTGTTTTCATTAAAGGAGACCTTTCTACTCTGGATATTTGTAGGATGTGTGTGTGTGTTACATGTAAAAGAGAACTGACTTCCTAATCAAAGGCAAATCAGATTTGTATTCCTCTTTTCTATGAGGTTTTTAAGATTTCCTGTTAACCCTTCTTTCCTGTAATCCTGACGGCATCTGAACTTCAAATTGTCATCATTCAAATTGATTTCTCAACCCAGTGCTTTCCAGAAGTACTGCTTTCTCTCAGTGCCATCTCTGTTGTGACTTCTTCCCATATCTGCTATGTTCAGATCCTGTAGGTGTATAAGCATTTCAGTGGAATTTGTTTCTGCTGTCTGCTAAACAGTATGCTTATTGATAAAGATACAGTTACTGTATGACTCACCAGGGATCTTAATGTCAATCACATTGTTTTTCTCTTTCATTCATACTAGTCATACTCAGGCTCTCTATACCCAACTTCCCAAAGCTCTTGTCAAGTAGCTTGCTGCCTAGTTTTTCACTCTAAACTGCATGTCGTAGTCAGGTGTGCTGCATAGTCTGACCGTGCGCTTATAAGCCCTTTCTCACTTGGCTCCAGAGACTTCCCAGGTGGCCTGCTGCGGGCGTCTCTGAGCCTGCTTTTCTTCCTAAGTGTATGGTACATGTGTATGTGCTCTTCTGTTTTTAACTTCCATGTACATTTCATAATACAAATTGTTAGGCCTCAGTTACTTTTTTAAAAGCTTTTAGGTCAAACTGTGTCAGACTCATGGAATGAGTGTTGAATGTTGAGGCAGTACTGGATCAGAGTGTATCTTTTGTCTCCTAATGAATAAAGACAAGAAAATGAATTAGCCTTTTTTTTAAAAAAATGTATGCAGTACCTAGTTAGTTATTTGTGTGTATTGGGTAATTTTAGACAGTTCTTTTAGAAATAAACACTTGAGAGTGTATACATGACCTTCCATGGTGCCTTATCTTTTCCTCTAGGCTTACTTGTGCGTTTCTGGCCTGCAAAGTGGATGAATTCAATGTCTCTAGTCCTCAGTTCGTCGGAAACCTTCGGGAGAGTCCCATTGGACAGGAGAAGGCGCTGGAACAGATTTTGGAGTATGAACTGCTCCTTATACAACAACTTAATTTTCATCTTATTGTCCATAATCCTTATAGACCTTTTGAGGGCTTCCTCATTGATATAAAGGTAAACTTAGTGACATGAAGTAAACTACTACATGAATGCTTTACCATTGTTCTTTAAAAGAATCTGCAACCTTGAAACCTTTAACCATTCTAAATTGTTTCAAAATGGTCACAACTTGTGAATGGACTGGGCCTGTAGGTAATAGTTTTCAAATTTTATTGTGTGTCTGATTCACCTGGAGAGCTTGAACTCAGATTGTTGGGTACTAAATGAAGAGCTTCTGATTCGTAGATCTGCAAGTCCTGGTGCCACTGTTCCATCCCTGGCCCCACTTGCTGCGTCAGCCCTGTTCCCAGGGCGGGCTGAGCCAGCCACAGAGTCTGGATATGGTGGTACCAGCCTGTAATCTCAGCACTGGGGAGGCTGAAAGCAGGAGGATCACCAAGTCCAAGCTGCATAGTGAGACTCTACAACAACCAAATACATTAAAATAAATTTAAAAAAAAGAATCCAGGGTACTCTTCATTAGTGACAAAGAGAGTGGTTCCTGGACTTTATAGATAGCAGATGGAATCAGTAGGACTTGAAGCTTGACAGCATGTGTAGGCTGCAGATGAAAGGAATCCTTGAATTTCTGACTTGAGGATACATAAGGATGATACAGCACTGACTGCAGGAGAATTACTGGTGACAGAAGGGTACGTGGATGTGGTTTGGGCTCAAGTGGTTAGGATTGTTTGTAAGACATCCAGTGGGCAGTTTCCTTGGGGAGGTCCAAGGAGTGCAAAGTTCAAGGTATATACGTGAGTTATCTTTGCTCAGGAGAGTTTAGATTGGCTGAGCATAGTGTTTGAATAGTAAAGGAAAAATGAAGCCACTGAGAAGTCTGAAGACTGAAGAGTACCTGGAGACAGGAATTGTTAGAGGAGTGAAGGCATTTTTAGATGTGTCTCCTCCTCCTCAGAGTTCAAGCAGGGAAAATAATAATAGTTGCTGGATTTAGTGTCAGAAAGGTCCTGATTCTGTTGAAACTAGTCTGCTAGCTTGGTGCCCGAAGGGAGGACATAAGTAGTCATGAGTGGCTTGATGACTGGTGGAAGGCCTGCTAAGTGATTTCATTACTTGTGTGTGTCATGGAATATACTTTTGTGATGCAGCTAACAACACACCTAGGCTCTAGGATATATGGAATGGTGTGTGTGTGTGTGTGTGTGTGTGTGTGTGTGTGTGTGTGTTGATTGAACCCAGGGCCTTTGCAGTGAGCTGTAGCCTCAGCCCTTTAACAATTTTGAGGCAAGATTTCTCTTAACATGCCATGTTTGCCAGTTGGGCTCAAACTTGTAATCCTCTTGCCTCAGCCTCCAGAGTGCTGGGATTATAGGCGTGTGCCACCACACCTAGACCAAATTTAATTTTAACATTTTCTTGTTGAAAATTAAACCACATACTGACCTAGACCTGTGAAGAGGGGAGGTCATCAGTATCATTTTTCTGGCCACCTCCATGTCTTGTCTCATCTTCAGGAGCAATAACATGCTGTGACTATAATCTCTAATAATAAGGCCTTGAATACTTGCTGAAGGAGCTGTCTTGGGCTCTTTTACCACTAACTTTTTTCTTTATAAGCAGGAGTCTAATAATTTTAAAAAACCACTAACAGTTGCGTATTGTTATCCAGTATTCTATACTGACATTGTGTGTGGACTGATTTGATACAAAAATAGAACTAGGCTAGGTTTGAGCACCAGCATAGATGAGAGTGTGCGTAATGCTTTGTACCAGGGCTTGGTTACGGCTTGGACTTCGGTAAATGATTGGAATTTTTCAGCTCTATTGTAATTTTCTGAGAATCATAAAAGACATTAAAACAGGTGGACACTGTTGTCGTGAAAAGGGAGGGCACATTTTCTTTGGAAACCTCATCATTGCTAGGCAGTGTTAAGAAACATACTGAGGTCGGAGAACAGGAGTTGATCATGTTACCAAACGTGTGGCTATATAGATTCCTCTGGAAATATTCAGAAATCTGGATAGTGTTGCAAAGTAGAAGGTTGGTTGGAGTCAAATACTATTAAACTTCAGCCAGATGTGTTGGCATTCTGTGGGAGCAGGGGATGAATCCGGGGGGAGTGAACACCTACAGACACTGGTGCACGTCAGCCCCTTGGGGACTGAGTGTCCAGAGGTTCGGAGGAAAGAGAGCAGCCAGTGTGCTGGATCAAAGACATTCATGGTCTGAGGGAGGTGACTGAATTTGTTACAGCAGTCCAGTGATTAGTGAGAATGACAAGCCTGAGTGGCACATGGTTGACTAAGGTGTTTGTTCTGAAGTGCAGACCAGATTTCTTAACAGGACATGAAAAGTTACTAGGAAATATGTGATCTTCATTTTCTTGGGCATATTTTGAAAATTCACTTTGTGGGGAAGCCTGGCATGTTCAAGATTTGTTTCCCTTTAATTCTTCCCCAAACTGAACTTCAATGTGATGTTCATACCAAAATGAGGTGGTGTTCTGTGTCCTACATGCCACCTTAATTCTACATCATCTGGATTGTCAGGGAGGTCTTTCTGGGAGTTTCTAAGTTCTTAAACCCAGTTGAGTCTCCTTGAGCCTCTCCTCCTTCTCAGGTGGAAAAGACAAAGACAGGGATTAGCATGACCTGAGAAGGCTGTCAGGTACTCCTGTGCTGGAAACAGAGACATTAGCTTAAAGCATGCATGCTTTCTTGGGCTTGTATTCAAATGGTTTTGAAAGCTGCTGAACTAAAGAGACATTAAAATCAGAGAAGACAAGATTCAACAATCAGAATTCAGTGAGGATAATTTTGCTGTGTTCTGTAAAACAATTCTATTAAGATTTTGAAATATTTGTTGGGTATAGGAAAGGAATTGCTTTTATAAAGGATTCTGTATTAAGCACTTTTTGGTTAATTAAGTATTTTTGAATTGTAAATACTCAACTAAACTCAGAAATGGTAACATCTGCTAAATTTTTTCCTAGACCCGCTATCCCATGCTGGAGAATCCGGAGATTTTGAGGAAAACAGCGGATGACTTTCTTAACAGAATTGCGTTGACAGATGCTTACCTTTTATATACACCTTCCCAAATTGCTCTGACTGCCATTTTATCTAGTGCCTCCAGGGCTGGAATTACTATGGAAAGGTAATAATTTGTGTTTCACCTTAGGTCAGAGTCAGTCACTCAGTGTACTTCTTAATGGAGTCTGAGTTTTTTAAGTAAGGTTTATTTGTGAATATATTCCTGTATATGTCCCTTGTGGCTAGGAAGGTTGGTGATAAAAGAAATGAAATCAGGTTTTAGGAAACTTTTAAAACTTGGGGAACCCATTGGTGAGCTAAGGGAGTACATCAGTGATTAACATGAGGTAAAGCAGGTGATTCTGGAAGGGCTGTAGCTATGAGTATGTGGCAGATTTGCAAGTTCACCAGCCGGTGAGCAATGTGAGGACAGTGTGTTTGCGTCTGGAGCCTGGGTGACGCATAGAACGCAGGGAGTGTCTGCAGAAAGCTCAGCACTGGAGAGGACGTCCCCTGATCAGTTGTCACTGAACCATAAGTAGTAATGGCTAATACAGAAATGAGCACTGAGAAGTAAACCCTACCCAAAACCATAGATGCTTAGAATGATTTATGCACAGACTCATTCAATTTTATAAATTCACTAAATGTACTCTTATATAGTGTCCATAAATGGATAAAACAATATCATGGAGGGCTGGCCAGGTAGCTCAGCAGACTAAAGGGGATTTGATCCCCGGTGTGCCATGCCAGCTCCGCCCCTGGAGCACAACAAGATAGCGAGTGAGACTTGGGGTGGTGGCGCATGCCTGTAATCCCAATGCTTGGGATACTAAAAACAGGAGGATCACTAGTGATCTACGTAGTGAGCCCCTGTACTAAATACATTTAAAAAAAAAAAAAAAAATGAGTATAATGACTAATGGGGGAGATAGGGAGAGGATAGCACAAAGCAGACCTTCACGGTGCTAGCCAGATACACCTGCTTTTTTCTTTTCATGTTTAATTACTGAATTTATGACCTTTTATAATTTTAAAATCCATTGATGAGGTGCAGGTAATATGAACAGATTGATTTAATTTTACTGCATTTAATAGCTGTATTAGTTTCCTTCAGAATTAATATTCCTATTTACAGGATACTCCTTGAGATATCAGTGGAGTATTTCAGTAATAATGTAGATATCAAGGTCCTTCTCCTAGACATAACTATATAAATTTCAAAATGCAGTTACATCTGAGAAAGAGTGTGGTTTATGTATCTTCTCCACAAACATAGCTCACCAACTGTATAAATATATTAGTAACTTCTACTCTGTTTACCTAACATCTTCTATGTATTACTCTGCATTAGGCTGCATTTTAGGCTTATGACAATGAACAATGTGTAAATCTCTACTCAGAACAGATACATAAATATTTGATATCTGTAGAATTTGGGTGCAGAGCTTCCATTATAGAGGGTCAAAGCTGTTTTTCACACTTAAGACAACCAAGCTTCATTAATCTGTTAAAGCATTTATGCCTTGTATATTGTAAGTTGTCCTCCAATGAGCTTTTGCTTCAGTTGAGTACAGTGAAGTATCATAAGGTCCAGATTTGAGTTCACTTCATTTTACAAGTTGAGTTAGAATTCTAGATAGGCAGAATTAAAATTGTGGTACCTTAGGCTTATTGCAAATTAAGCTGGCTTTTGTAACGTTTACAGGCACTATACTCATTTGATCATTTTTTCCCTTTTAGGAAAAGGCGCTCCAATCATTAACTTAAGATTGATTTACAGGCAAACTATTTTGAGATACATGAAAGTTGAATATACACTTACTGATGATTGCTAAAAAGGAGGGCCTTGTGGTGTTCATGTTTTGAACAGTGTTCTAGATTATTACTCATACTCTGGTTCTTCTGGGTTCTCTTTGTGGTGTGGGTATGGAGCTGTTTGTTAGCTGGCAGTTTGATTCTTTAGACATTCTCAAGTACTTCTGAATATTGTAAAACTCAAAATTGAAAGGTATTACTCAGAGGGCTGGCCAGATAGCTTAGTGGACTAAAGTGCCTACTTAGGCAGACTCAGGGACCAGGGTTCGATCCCCAGCATGCCTTGCGGGCCCCACCAACGGGGTGATTGAGACTGTATGTGGTGGTGCACACCTGTAATCTCAGCAGTGGGGAGGCTGAAAACAGGATCGCTACAAGTCCGATCTATGTAGTTAGACCCTGTAGACCCTGTACTGAATACATTAAAAAGAAAAAAGTGTTAGTCAGAACTGAGATTAAAAGACTTTCCCACCTCACTCTTAGAACCAAATGTATTGCTATATACTTAAGAAATTGAAAGGAAAGGAAGACTAAAAGCAACAAAAAGGTGGACGTGGACCAAAGTGTGGAATTTTAGGGAAAAGGAAAATACTAATTTAGTTATAAGCTGAAATCCATTCTTTGTCAAGTTATTGATTCCCATATTCAAAACTCCCACAATGGGCATGAAGATGTTATATCAGATTTAATTATTGAAACTGTATAATCAAGCTTAAGTAACTTAGTTTAAAAGATCCAACAGTTCTTCAAGGATTACTTTCCATTTTGGTAACTTTAACCAAGAGAAAAATTAATACTTTTCTGTATTTATGTTTGAAAGATTTCTTACGCTTTAGTAGTCTGTTCACTTGGACCTTTATCAACTGTAGATCAAGTTTGGGTATTTAAAACTTTAGCTAAGACTTAAAGATAGAAATTTTATTTTCATACTATTATTACATTTGGGAAAAAACAAAACAAAACAGGAATTGGGCTTTATATCCCATTGGTGGAAAAATGATGCCTTTCCTTTGGCCGTGATGCAGATGAAATGTAGTAGAGTTATATAAAGCATGGAGCGGTTTTCTTGTTGGCTTACACCCTTCTCCCAGGGCCCCTGGAAATGCAGCAGTAACTAACAGGACGGTGAAGTTAAGGGGAGTGGAAGTTTTGGGGTTTGGGGCAAGTGGGATGTCTTGACTTGTAGCTAAAAACAGTTGTAGTAAATCCCTAAGACTATAGTAGTTTGTAGGTTGCCCTTTTTCAGAGTTTAAAGTATGATGTAATACTGTCCTAATTGTTAAATTGCCCCTGAAATGAACATTTAGGCAAACAGCTTATTGTGTCATGCTTCTCATTAGTGCATGCTTCCAGGGGTTAAAGTTTTCTTCTTTTCTTTATCAGTTATTTATCGGAGAGTCTGATGGTGCGAGAAAACAGAACTTGCTTGTCACAGTTACTAGATATAATGAAAAGTAAGTAATATACTGCACAGTTGTTTTCTGACAAAATGTCTCGATATTTAACTTGAGATAATATAGGATTGTTTGACTTATTATTAGACATTCCTTGTTTAAGATTAAATTCATTCTGTTGACTAAGTCATCAAGGGTATTGGTCCCTAAATGAGTTGTATATCATATGTATACTACAATGTTCAACACGAGAAAAGGGTCAAAGAAACCACCACCAGATGACTGCATTTATTTCCATAACTCTTACATGCAGTAAAATAAAACTGCAGTACTGTACAGTGCAATCAGGAAAATTGCAGCACTGTATAAACAAGATGTACTGTTGAAAGAAAAGACATGGTAGCTCCTTGGACAGGATGTGCAGGACTGTACAAAAAAAATCAAAAAACGTCCGCAAGTCCCAAGAATAAATTGGTAGGTCATTAAGTGAGGACTCTGTGTTCTTCGTTGATGTATTAAAGATAAACTGAGAACAAAACAAAGCATATGCAGAGTGGTAGTCTTCACATGTATATCAGAGTGAAAATTGCATTTGAGAGTTTAATGAGCTGCATCATAATGCCTTAAAAGTACACAACGAGTGTACAGCAGGTCTGGAAGTACATCTGAAGGGACCTAGAGAGGATGTGTAAATTTGGAACTTCTGTTTTGTAGATGCATCAGTTTTAACTAGGTGATGTGTTTCAGTTGCTTGTCCCATTAGTTGGTAACCTGAAAGGCGTGGTCTCATGCTATTGGGAGGCATCTTTGGCTGTCACAGAAGGATGGTCCTTGCTGCCAGCATTTAGTGGGTGGAGAGGCAAGTGCTGCTGTGCATTGTGCAGAGGACAGTCCCTATGCAAGGTGGAGCAGTGTTTGTTTTGGGTTTTTTTTTGTATTTTAGGGAAGAGTCTACCAGGGTGCTCAGGGTCTCACTCCTAGATCAGACTCGTAGTGATCCGCTGTTTACAGCCTGCCAAGAGCTGGGATTACAGACATGCGCCTCTCGTTGCCGGCTCAGCGTGCCCTGGGGGTGGGGCCGGCACATCAGGCCCCGGGATTGAACCCCGGCCATCCCCTGAGCTGTTTGGCTGGCCCCAGGAGCAGTAGTGTGTCTGGGCAGCAGCAGCATCTGAGCACGCTGGCCTTGCACATTGGAGTGATGCATGCAGACAGGACAGGAGGGGTTGATTCCGTAGTGTGGCTGCCAACACCTGGAGTTTGGCTCAGTGAAACTGTTTCGGAACTCATGGGCTCTAAAACAGAGAGGAAATTCTGGTGGTTTTAAAATCCCAAGTTTGTGATAATAGCCTCAGGAAACGAATTCTGTAAAATCCTTTTACAACATAGACTTATCTAAATCAAAATGCCACGGTGCTGGTGTTAGAACTGGACTAATGGGGCGCCGGGAAGTAGCTTCCTGGCATAAGCGCCCGCCTGGCGGGTGCAAGGTCCTACCAGTGGGATGAGTGCCTAGCTGAGCGGCGGTGCCAGGCAGCCGGGTCGCGTTGTTGGTTGGCACCCGTGGGACGCTGGATGAATGCTTCAGGCTGCTGTGCTCCTAGCATTGAGTCAGTTGTGTTTGTTCACTGGTTTTTTTTTTTTTTTGTAATCTTTCTGTAATTTAATCAAGTATTGGATAAACCAGTAAAAGATTGCAGAGTTTGACTTTGGGTGAAAGTTAACAAGTGTAATTTTTATTTTTTTTTAAACTTAAGATGTTTCAGAGCATAGAGTTTTCATCTGTTGGTTTGCCGCTCTAGGCAATCCTGAGGGCTCTTCCTGTACTAAATGAAAACAGTGGGAGTGGAGCTGGGTGCTGCACTGTAGGGCTTCATGTCCGCCACTAGGGGGCTCACGGTCAAAGCTAATTGTAGTTTGGCTATTGATTCTAGGATCATTCCATTTTGTAGATACAGTAATTAACTGTACTCAAAGCTTCCAATTTTATTACTGATTTCTTAGTAGTTTTATTTGCTCCGCTTATTTTTAATATGATATGATAATAGCTCATGGTAAAATAGTATCCGGTTTAATAATATTAAGATACTCATAGCTTTTTGGAACACAGAAATTTTCCAAAGGATGTTAAGTCTCAAGAATTCATTCATTTGAAAACACTGCTTTTAAAGAAAAGCAGTGCATTGTTTTCATTATGAAATAAGTCATTAATATAGTTACACAGCACATGGCAGCTAAGGCATCCTAGATCTTCTGTTTTTCCTCTAAAAATCTTGAGATTTGTATTCTTTGGTTCGTAGTTGAATGACATGATCAGCTAAAAGGTTTTTGTAATTATAGAGTTACTGATACAGTACTTTTAAACTAAAGGAGAGTATTTTTGTAGACCAAAGGATCTACAGTTTGTTGAAACAAAGAATCACTGACAGTTTACCATACTAAACACACCTCTTTATTATGTTTACACAGCACATAGCAGTTTCTGTGGTATACAAGAAGTACGCTCGTGGCCCACAGCCGTTGGTAGAATGTTGTGCATAGAGTTAGTAGAGAATAAAGTATGTTCAGTAAATCATACAGGGATTTTTTTCTAGAAGTTGCCAGGTGTGGCACACACCCAGAGTCCTAGCAGCTCAGGAGGCTAAGGCATTCAATCTCTGGCAACGTCGTAAGTCTGTGTGCCAGGCTGTATGCAGACTAAAGTGGGCTGGGGTGTAGCTCAGTGTGACAGTGCTGAGGACTGAACTCAGAAAAAAAAAAATTAAGATTGAGCAAAGCATGTGATCGTGTCAGTGGTTGCAGAAAGAAATACTGCTGAGTAGATGATACAGCTTGCTTATTCTCTGTGCTGTACATAAGACTGCATAGACAGTAGAGAGCCGTAATCCCTTCAGTGTCATTGTTGCTTCTTGGCTTTAAATCTGACATAATACAAACCCTGCTAAGAACAATCATGTCATCTCGAGAGCATTTTCTGATTCTGTGACAAGATGAGAGGTTATTACGTGGCTCCCTTTAATGTGAGAGCAGGATGTTTATTATTCAGTGTGAACCCTTTCCATCTCCACACAGGCATGAGAAATTTAGTAAAAAAGTATGAGCCACCAAGAGCTGAAGAAATTGCTGTTCTGAAGCAGAAGCTGGAGCGATGTCACTCTGCTGAGCTTGCACTTAATGTCATTACGTAAGTAGATGGGGCAGTTACTCATGAATAGTTTGTTACTTACTCCCCTGGCCTTCACAGTAGTAAATCATTTCATTGGGGAAAACTGATACCTTGTAACTCAGGTTTTTTTAATCAAGTTTACTTTTCTAATGAGATGGTACACAACATAGTAAATAGTTGGTCATTGTTTAGTTCTGATCTATCACTAGTGTTCTTCGGCTGGCAAATCTGGTCCTTTCTGTTCCTTCTTGTGGGATATCTGGGGTCAGTGTCCCCCTAGGGATCTATCGCTTTTGCCTGTCCTTTCACTCTGTGGTGTCTTCACAGGGCTTTTTTTTTTTTTAATTGGCTGAACCGGGGATTGAACTCAGGCCCTTGTGCTTGCCAGGGGAGCGCTTATTCTACAGAGCCATCTCCCTGGCCCCCTTCACAGGTCTTTTAATTGGTTCAGGGAACAAGTATACTGTTAGCTAGTGTGGGAGCATTTGGCATGTTTTATTGCAGTGAGCAAGTTGATGTTGAAAATAGAACCTCTAGGAAAATGAGCCCTTAGCTCTTTTTGCAGCCACGGGCACGTTTCTTAATTTGTAGGCTAATGTGGAATTCACCATAAAATTTGCCCTTCTGCTGTGCATAAAGAATCCATAACATTTTAGGAGTTTAGGCAGCTAGGAGTTTGAATAGATGATAGGATATTTCACGGAGATACTTTCAAGGTACTGCATTCTGATGTGAATGTTTGTTAAAAGTTCAGTGGGAGTTAGCCAGGGCAACTTGTAGTTAAGGTGCGTTAGAGATACTCTCATCTCTATAGTTGATGAGAGATGTTAATAGATATGTATGAGAAGCCCTAAGAGCATTCCAAGGTCTTTAGAACAGCTACTGACTCAAGCCCTTTTACAGATGTAGTAGAGGATTCCAGGGATGAATGCAGTATGCAAAATATAGGACTGTGTTATTATAATCATTGCTGTAACTTCAAAAGATGGCCTAGAACTTGAACTTCACAGGGTTCATTCCTGTGCCTCTGTAGTAACAGGAATATTAGAAGGCTGTAGAGAAATGTTGACTTTAGGGAATCAGAGTATTGTACATTCATGTTGTCACACTGATTTTTGAGATAGGCTTGACATTGGCCAGACATTGGCCAGTTCTAGTTCACAGGCTAAATCTGATCCCTGTTCTTTGGAAACAGTTTTACTGGAGCCATAGTATAAACATTAGTTCACCTATTATCACAACTGTTTTCATGCTATGACAGAAACATTGAGTGTGACAAAACTATTGTGGCCTGCAAGAGCTAAAATTTATACTTGTAGCCCATTGAAGTTTACCCTTGAAGTTTACAAGTTTACTTGTAGCCCCTAGATTAGAACTCTGAACAGTTATAATCCTACTCTTCCAGCTGGGTGAGTAAATGGGCCACGGCCCCAAATTTCTAACTAGCAGTTTATTTTTCATTGTTTGTTTGGGAGGTACTGTGGATGAGCCCAGGGCCTTGCCATTGAGCTGCATCACCAGTCCTTTTCTAACTTATAATTCTTTGAGAAAAGGTCTTAAGTTGCTGAGGCTGGATTTAATTAAACCTTCAGTCCTCCTGCCTCAGCCTCCCACAGTGCCTCATGCCTTGCTCACAGGGTGTGTTACTCATAATTACCATTTGCTTTGTCCTGTAAATTTGCACACTTGAGTGCTTTTCAAACTGTGAAAATCTAGAATTTATTACATACACTTCAGAAAAAAAAATTTCTAGAAAAATGAAGACATACAAAACTGTAAGTTGAAATTTTATTACATTGAATTGCCAAAAATTCTAATTGCTGTAAGAATTTCCAAATATGTAATTTTTGGACTAATCACAATGGATTTATGGGCCACACTGTGAGTAACAATACTGTAAGACAAAATACTTGTTTTCGTTGACCTTTAAAAATTCTTTTACCTTTATTTTTCATCACACAAGAACTGTAGTGTAAGGCAATCAGTATAGGTAAAACTCAAATTCCCTTAACAAACCCAAATCTAAGTCACAACTTCAAAAGTTATTTGGTGTTTATGGGGGCCGCGGAGATGGCTCAGTGGAATAAGCACTTCCCTGGAAGTGCAAGGGCCTGAGTTCAATCCCCGGTTTCCACCAAAAACAAACAAAAAGTTATTTGGTGTTTACTTCTGGATTTCTGTGTGTGTGTGTGTGTGTGTGTGTGTGTGTAATTCTGGTGTTTCTCTATATCGCTGTCTTCATATGTGGTACAGCACTTTTTGTTACTAGCCTATAACCTTTGCCAGTCTGGGTAAAAAAACTGGTATCACTGGTATTTAGTGTTACTCTTGATTACTGTGAGCCACTGATGTTCCTGTGGATAAAGGTCATCCTTATTATGTCACATTTTTTCCATAGATTATTCATGATGCTTGCTCAGTTTGGGGACATTATTTTTTTGCTCTTTACAAATTTTCTATACTCATTTTTGATAATAGCTCTTTGCAGTTTTTACATGTAAAATATTTAATATTTTACTTCTTGTTCAGCTTTTAAAACTACTTAAGAATTCTTTGTGATGATTTTTTTCTTTTTTAAAACTGAAATTTTGTTCCAGTCTGCTTTTGGAAAATCTTTCAGTTATTTTGAATTATTACTATTATTTTTTAATCACAGACTAAATTCTTCTAGTCATTTTAAAGCCTGGTATATAACTGATACTGTGCACTTAATGATCCTAACTTGCAAGTGCACTTTTATAATGGAGACAAGGACCTTCAGCATTGTGTTTTGCAGATTAGCTTTGCTACTTTTTCCTGTTCTCTGCCCACTATTGTCCTCATAGCCTTAACTCTTCATCTCTTTCCATGCCATCCCTCAGTAGATACTCACAGGCTGATTTATTCCTTATTTTATGGTTTGTTTGCCAGTACCATGTTTATTGATAGTTGTTTAATTACAGAAAGAAAAGGAAAGGCTATGAAGATGATGATTATGTATCAAAGAAATCCAAACATGAAGAGGTATGTTAATTCTAAAGGTAAAGTTGATAACATTTACATTCTGATGAGATTTATTGTCCCAGAGTGTGATGGTGGTTTGGCTTTTATTACTTTTCCTAGTTTCGCCTGTCTATGTATGTTGCCCATTATTAAAGGAATTTGTCTTGCTTTGGTTTTAGCCTGTTATGAGGCACTGTAAGGGGTGATGAAATCTGTCCTGTATCCATAGACTGCAGCAAGGACACACACTTCGCTTCTGCTTTACATGCGTTCTCCAGATTCCTTAAAATCGTACTTGGAAGTCGGGTTGAAGGAGTAGTCGGAGGCAGAAGGTTGCCACTGCTGTCTTTAGTGCTCACTGGAGGTGGCTGGCGAGCCTGCGCCAGGAGAGTGAAAGAGCAGTGTGCTGGAGTTGGCCGCTTCATTCACTTCCGTCACCAGCACAAGTGCAAGGGGAAATGACGCTGGTCATGCCTCAGGGTGTCGTCCTAACCACGTGCTTTTTTCCTTCGTAGGAAGAATGGACAGATGATGACCTGGTGGACTCTCTCTGAATGTTTGAAACTGCTATATTTAATCAGCAGAAGGAAATGTATCTGGCATTTAACTTAAACACTAATACATTAAAGTGCTGTATTTCACTTATGTCAAATGCAGCGTCTTCAGAAGCAGAAATGGCAGAGTTGGGCTCCTGTGGAAACGGCCACGCAGATGTGCCGTGCCTCACAGTTGTCTTCCTAAGTGGCCTTTCAAATGCTGCCTGGTCAGCCCTCTGTGTGTTTCTGCCGAACTGCTTGGGACTGAAAGGCAGTCTTTCTAGGGACTGATTTTCTTTTCCTCTCAGTTACTAGACATTTCCAAATTTAAAAAAGTTAGAGGTATAATTGAGTTCTCTAGATAAAAATCTTAAGTTGGTATCTAATATGTTTAGTTTTAAAATTAACCTATTACTACTTGCGAGTTCATATAAATAGGTGTTACAGTTACTAGGAGCTTTACATATGAACTATACATAAGGAATTTAATTCAAGTTGAAATGAACGATATAAAAGCAAAGACCGTATACCAGGTTACTGAGCTATGGGTGGAACTGTTGCTACTTCATTCCGTGGCCTTGGTAAGTTAATAAACCTCTGCACTAGTTTCCCACATTCAGATGAAATGACAGTGACACTATCTACTCTTTGTAAGGTGGATCAGAGCATTGTGCTCATGACCTGATTAATATATGTGTTTTAAGAGTAGAACAAATGTTAGCTGTTACAGCTAGAAACAAACTCAAGAATGTGTTTTATCACACCACTTTTTTTTTTTTCTTTTGGAAAACTTGAAATTGTGAGAAACTCAGCTGCCCATAAACTCAATAGAGATACATAACTCACAACCAGTGTGTGCAAGGCTGTTCTTCCCATTAGAGAAATGAACATTTTTACTTAGGTCTTAGTATATGACAGCAGTATGTTTTAAGCTTTTTGGTAGTTTTTGGTTTTGTTATTGTGAAATGAATAAAATTGATGGTGGGACTTTTACAAAAGTAGAACCTGAAATTTGTAATTCTTCACTGTAGTCCTAGGCAAATATGCTAGGCTGGAGACAGAATTGCACAATGCTTAGTTTACCTCCTGTTTTCCTTTCAGACCACTCAACTTTGGCATCAGGAAAAGGTCCACATTTATTTGACTTTCCTAGACAACCTGATTTTTTAAAAAAAGTTTCATTTCAACATTGATCATGTAGTTACTTCAGAGAGATGTCTAAAAAGGTAGGTAACAAGTGTTCCACTCCAGTTTAAGAGATAAACATGCAAGTTTCCCACTCTAGTTTAAGAGATAAACATTTACACAGAAAGAATAGGGCAAGTTTTTCAGGTTTATGTTTTATAATTAATGGCATGGGGAAAGGATTTTGGAATGGGAGGTAAGCAGGTCACTATCAGTTTGGACCATCTGTCAGAACATTTTAAGAGGTATCACTAGGCCATAGCCATTCCATGGGTCTTCTGTCCAATAAACAAAGAAGGAGACCAGGTGAATACTCCTGTGGTAATCCAACCAACAAGCTCAAGGAATAGAGAAGAAAAGTAACGTGACAGGATCTAGAGACAAGGAGGAAAAAAATGAAGTGGCATTATGATCAAGGAGGAGGACTGCAGGATGTGCTGGGTTTGGATGATTCTGATCAAGTGATTGAACCTATGTGAGGCTAGGCTGCAGTCACAGAAATAACTACCTCTTATAATGTAAAACTAAGCACACAGTCATATTTTAAACCATCAGAGACTGGGAGTATAGCTCAGTGGTACGGCTGCTCTTATCTCCAGTGCTACAAAAAAAGTTTAACATCTTTTCCCCGTGTTTTAAATGTTATACAGTCGAGTGTTGCTCTTAGTTTGTAGGCCTTTAGAAAATTTTTCAACTGTAGGAACTGGTTATCCTCCCTTCACTCAATTCCTGCCTTACCCACTTGCACTACTAACATTTCCCAACATGATATTTGCTCCTATCATGCCCCTTTTGCACACGTATGGGAAAGAGTGAAATAACTGTAAAAACAGATCATACACTGAGTCATTTTTTTTCAAGAGACCATTAGCAAAAATAATAATTTGAAGTTTTATCTCCCTGGGGACCTTGCTCTGATGCCAAAGTTTGAACTGCCCCTGAAGAGGGTGAGAATGCTTGGCAATATTTAGAAGTAAAATATCACTTATGTGAGATATCCCTTGGTTTTATTTTAACTTAACCCTTGTGAATACTTCACAAAAATACACATACAGAAGCAAATAAAACTATACAGTCCGACTAAATATCCAGCTCAGCAGATACAAGTGGTCAGAAGCTCAAAGATGGGTAAGTTGTTAAGTGGCTGATGAGGTTGTCTGCGTAATCAAAGGGGTAACAAAAATCAACTCTGAAGAATTCTAGTTTTGTTTTTTACACAAAAAAACTGGAAACCTATAAAATGCCTGAAGGGTAACATGCACTGATCAGTACAATGACCAATAATATTTACTGAATTCAAACTATTTACTGTTGTAAACATTTAACAAAAGCATTGGGATCTAAATACAATCTTTGACAATTCCAACAAAATAAGTGGTATGTTTAAAAAATAAAGCTGATGAGCAATAGATCCATCTATATATTTTCTTTCAACAGTTCCAGAATGAGAAATAGCACAGTATTTTAAAAAAGTATATAACAAAGATTGTTCCTATTATGACAAACCCTGGAGACTGTAAATACAGTCACTGAACAGTCAGATGGTCATGTCCCCAAAGTGTTACAGTAAGAACAGTCTGCAGGCCAGTTGTCCTTAGTTGTCAGGAGAGAATGTCAGTTGGTTTCATAGTTCTTTTTCCAAGAGACAGCAAAACTTTGGCAATTAGATGTACTGGAAATATACTTGGAGTTGAAGACAGAGTCCTGGCGGTTTTGTCAAAGATTATCTGCACACCGGCTCAGAGTTGGGTGAAGGTTCCGAGTGGAGAAGTGCAGATGTCCTGCAGAGACGGCTCACACGGGCTCCGGCAGAGAGCTGCCGGCCGTCTTCAGTGTCTTTGCATAGCTCACACATCGCTGGGATGTGGCAAGGTGTGCTATTTTTGGCAAGAGCAGAGGAGACACTATACTGATGACAATTTGCTGGGCATGCTGAATCCAAGGAGGGCTGCTACCTGACATCATTGGTTTTTGTATACTGGTTTTGTTTTTGTTGAAGCAGTTCTGTTATAGCCAGCAGCTTTTTCAACACATGCTAGACAGAAAAAAAATAGAAGAGGAAAAGAATTAGTAAATAAACGAAAACCTCATTTGGAGTTCCAGGAGGGGTACCTGGATAGGAAAAAAGCCATGTGAAAGGAAATAGTGAAGTAATACCAGCTTTCTATTCAAATCTGTGAGTTTGTCTTATGTGGACTTTGCTGTATTTTTGATTGTAGTCATGGTAAAGAATTTTTATATGCCAAAGTCAATAACTGAAACATTGCTAGGATAGATCACCTTTCAGGAAGACAGATGCATAAAAACTTATCAGAGTAGAACCCTAATAAGTAACACTATTAACTTGCTAAGGCTACTCAGCAACACATGGCTCATTTTATTCTTGTACCTTTCCATGTCTCAACTGACCTCTGATGTGAGAGAGACAAAACCACTACTGCCCTATTTCGGCTCACCTCTCATCTTTAAATGTGCTGTGAAAGTATATGGATGCCATCATTTTCTAGGAAAGTTAGCATTTTACATTTAAAAGCAAGATAGCTTGAGCCCTTCACTGTTGGTTTTGGAGACAAGGTCTCACTACATAGTCGTCCCCCCCCCGCCCCCCACTATGTAGTTTAGGCTGTCCTGAAACTATGTAACCCAGGCTGGCCACAAAATTGTGGCAGTCTTCTTGCCTTGGCATCCTGACTCCAAGCAGAACCCCAGGAGGGCTGCTATCTGACATCATTGGTTTTTGTATACTGGTTTGGTTTTTGTTGAAGCAGTTCTGTTATATTCTGCTGTATGCTACTATGTTGGCTACAAAGGAGCCCCTGGCTGAGATCTTTCTGGATTATGATTCAGATTCTTAAAATTGTAATATAACTGATACAGTGTTCATCAGAACAGAGCTATGAGCTTACATCACAGTCATAGCTGGCATTCAGTGTAAGTGCTAATGAACATCATGGTTAATGAATGGCTGGCGAAAACCCACCTGCTGTGCGCCACGCTCATTACTGAGCGTTCGCAGCTCATCCGAATGGGCCACACAGATTTCATGCAGTGCTGCTAAGTCCCGGGACAGGTCAGTTCTAGAATGTTCTGTAGTGTCCGGAAGTTCAGGTACATTCTTTAAGGGAATCAGAAAACTGCATTTAGAAACACAAATCTTTATGAAATCTCTTCTGAAATGATTCAAAGTATATACAGTAAATATTTTAATATTCTCTTAAAATTTGAGATGCTTAATTTATAATTGACATTTTTCTCTTTAACAGTGTATTAAAAGTTCCAATTTGGATTTCTAATTCATAGTAAAGTCAAGTTCCATTTTGGTCACAGCATATCAGAACATGGCATAATACTGTTACTATAAAACAGGTTCTTGGGGCTTGGGATATAGCTCAGTGGCAAAAGTGCCTGCCTTGCAAGTACAAGGTCCTGAGTTCAATCGTACCACAAAAAAAACAAAACAAAACAAAACAACTTCCTAAACAATAAGCTATGTGTTAAGTTTTTTTAAAAATGTACAACATGTGACAAATACTATAAATATTAAATGCAATTTAAATTTAAAATTCCCAAACTGAATTTCATAAAACTCGCGGTAGTTGTCCAAATTCATCATCACAGTTCCATGATCAAAATATGAAAACCTATCAAGCTTATCTGTGGAAGATGCTCAAAACAAAAGTCAATGTTACTTACGCTTTTCTTTAAGGTTCATGAAAGAACTCAGTTATGTTTATAATACTTATTACCACTCATAATACTGTTTAACATGGGTTTAGATTACCAAAAACTATAAATCTATCACCTATTTAATGATAAGGTTTGTTACACATATCTAAAAATTGCAAAATTCTGGTGTTTTATGGTAAAAGCAAAGCATTAAGCAGAATACATTCATTCTTACTGACCCAGTTATTTTATCCTTCAGTAACAGATTATAGAAATAAAAGGCATTAGCATTTGTCTTCCGAGGGCATGTAGTCTGGTGGTCATGCAAACCTGTAATCTCAGCCCTTGCCTTGGAAAGCTGATGTAGGAGGATCTCTGCAAGTTCAAGGCCAGCCTGGGCTACACAGTGAGCTTAAGGCCAGCCTGAACTACAAAGCAAATAAGCCAATCATAACAACAGTTACAGATGTGTAGGGAAAAAACTAGGAAGCAGAGCATGAACAAGTGAAGCTTCAAAGATGAACTGACTTATGTAAGAAGTGAAGGAACAAAAGCAGATTGGAGGTTATAGGTATATTTGGATATGTAGACTCTAAGCAGCTCTGAAAAGCTAGATTTTGTGAGTGACAGAAAAGCTAAAGCCTAGAAACACTGCTTAAGCAAAAATCCACCTTAAGCAGGCACATTTCCCTAGCAGATGTGTAAACGTCATTACAGCAAGAAGAAGTTTCTCATCACCATACAACTATATTTTTGATAATTACAAATATTTATATAAGTGTCCCAGGAATTCATGTACTAATAATTAAAAAACACTCATGTCTACTGGTGTCTTCTGTAGGAGAGCAAGCTCAGCCTGACTCACTTCCTGCAGCAGTACAGTACTGCTGACCTGTGGTTCTGACTGCATCTGAAGGCATTAAACCAGAATGTGCTTCCGTTTCCCAGCCAGCCATAAAGCTGCGTCAGTTCCCACAGGCATGCTACTTTCCGGTTTCTGTCTGTAAGCTAAATCACTGATCAGTAGTTTAAAACTCAACTTTATAGAAAATTTAACTCTGCCAAGACACAGGATTTTTAAAATTTAAATATATTTCATATTTATTTAGATCTTATAATCACAGTTTTATTATTTATAAAGATACAGAGTGAGGTGTAAGTAGCCCAAATGAAGTATATCACCAAATGCGTGTATTTGATTCCTAGAAATAACCATAAGAGCCCTCATTTTGTTTATATGAGTCATAACTATGGGTCACCCATCTTATTTCAAATTTTAGCTGCAAAGAGTAAAAGCTAAAGAAATCTCGTAACGCAATGTTACAGCAGTTATGTAATAGCTAAGACACAATGGAAACTACAACTTCAGCAGTTAAAAAGCCACAACTTTATGCTTGGTGTAATAAATCAGTGTAAGAATAAATGGTTCTAGGTACAAAAATTAAATTTTTGTTTAGAAAGATTTAAAATTTTTCTGAAGTTTTTTACTTAAATAAGTTAACTCATGTACTAACTATAGGTCTCTACTTGAAAATTATATACATACCCCAAGTTCATCTAAAAACATGATCATACGATGTTTGTTGCTTTTGATGAATGGATTAACACCTTCCATATAAGGCTCCTAAGAAAATAAAGAGCTTACGGTACAATAAACAATTGTCTAATATATAGTAAAAATCACATATATAGCAAAGAGTCCAGTTAATAAGAATATAATCACATGCTACCCTTTTCCTTAAAAACAGCTATCCTATCATGAGGAACTGAAGTTTAAGAATGAGAAATTGTGGACCAAATTACAATATAGTCTGGTAGATACACGGGAAAAGTCTGTAAGATGGAGATGTGAGTCTTTAAAGGAATAAAATAATGAAGCACAAGTTCTGGCAAGGTTAGGAGGACTAACACAACTTACATTGCTGGTAGGCAGTCTTATACCCAGTAAATGCCTAAAATCTGTAATTAGTAATTCTCCAGAGGTTAGGGAGTAACTTGACAAGCAGGAAACAAAGCACACCAGTATAGTGACACTTGTTCCTGCAGTGACAGTGACGGGAGCCCATCTAAATGTCCAGTGGAGGAGGACTTCACACCCATCGGATGGCACACCATCCTAACCCTTAATAAGAAAGCTGCATATTTCCTGACACAAAAGAAGTTTGTTACATTAAGAAAAGTGACAGCATGATTCCAACGGAAGAATTTAAAGTTCTAC